TATGAGGGCCCCCCCCCCCCCCCTGCAAGCGGTGCTCTCTGCGAAAGCTACGCAAGAAATCAGAAAATAAATGGCCTTTCCTTGCCTTTTGTGTCCCCACGAGGGTGGCGATGAATGGCATGAGAGTTTTGCAGACGGCTTGGTTCTTGTTGATTTATCCCTCAACGGTTTTGGTGCTACTGTCGTTGGGAGTCCCCGTGGTTGTTTCGTTGTCAAACGTATCGGGCTGCTGCTTTGTTTACCCAACACCTTGCGAACCCTGTGCACCACCGGAGAGTCTTAGGTACAAGGACTGCGGAAGTTACTGTTGCTGGTATTACAGCACCATCTGCAAAAACCCGTGCATATGCAACAGTCGTTTCCCCGCATGTGCGTGGTTTCGTGCTTGTTTTCGAGATCCATGAAGTCTATCCAGTTGTACCCGCCGGTGGTCCTTTGCGACTCTTCCGTCCTTCTCTCTTCTGTTTTTTATCTTGTGGTCTGGTCGCTTGGTTTGTTGATGATTCAAATTGGTCCCCCCTCGTGCGTGCGTGCTTGTGTGTTCCGCACGACAGGGCAACGATGGCAACATTCGAAGGTTTACCATCAACGGGTTACCCGACTTGGATTCGGGCCTGTTCCCCAAGTGAGTGGCTTGTCGTCGTGACGGCGAAGGCCCCCTTGCATACGGAACATGCCCCATATTTACGTACGCCTGCTTAGTTTGCTTTAATCCTCCCTCCCTCCCGTCCCCGACACACGCTGCCGCCGCTGACAAGGGTGGCAGTAGCATCTACGGCGTGGTTGCGCTCCTTTTGCCCATGGTGTTGTCGCTGCATACATTGCGACCAAACTTTGTTTGCGGGCATCCCCTCGCCGCGATTGGCTAGGGAAACCATTTTTTAACCACCTTTTGCAAAGTTGAAAGGAACGATTGGCCATCGGTGATGGGTCCTGTGGGAACAACGCTCCGTCCTCTCGAGGACCCGAGGTCGATGGTCTAACATCTATTTATAAGATGCCGTAGGAGGCGGAGACATGGAGCCCCCCCTAGACCGACTTTCGAAGCTCGATTGCTCCGCAACCAAGATTGTCTGTACCGTGCCGTATACCGTACCGTGGTATTCCGTAAGAGTCGGAGAGATGGCACCCCCCCTGGACCGACTTTCGAAGCTCGATTGCTCCGCAACCAAGATTGTCTGTACCGTGCCGTATACCGTACCGTGGTATTCCGTAAGAGTCGGAGAGATGGCACCCCCCCTGGACCGACTTTCGAAGCTCGATTGCTCCGCAACCAAGTGGGTGCTGAGCGAGCCCGATGTTCACTCACTGCCCTGGACGAGCTGTATGTCTCCAAAACCACCAGTCTTGGTGTTTGCACAAGCATGGTCGTGGAGCAATCAAGCTTTCAAAATCGGCCTAAGGGGGGGTGACATCTCTCGGCTTGTTCATGTATGCAAGACACCAGTACGCCCCCCCTTCTACCTCGGTGCTGAACGCTCTTGCACGCCTGCTCGCCGCTGCCGCTCCACGTCGTCTTTCGCTCGAACTCGCGCGTAGGTCTCACACGTGCTTTAACCGCATAGACTTGCCCATGTACTCCAACAAGAAGGAGCTAGAGGAGTACCTGACCATGGCCATCAACATGGAGTGCACAGGCTTCGGCATCGAGTAACAGCCTTTTCTTGCCTGGGGTTTGGTTGATGTTGAAACGTAGAGTCACGCGCGTGACGACCGTGTGTTTCATGCGTGTGCGATGGCATGGCGTTGCCTTTCAACAAGATGAAGCTCTGTCGCGTTGGGGTCGGGGTGGGGCGCCCGGGGATTCGGGTCCTTCAAGGATGGGGGGGAGGTACGGAGAATAAGCGCGAAAAGGGAAGGGACATGCATACTGGCGCCCTTGTTTTACCCCACGCCTATTCAAACCTGTTCTCGTTTTGGAAACCCCTCGAAGGACTGCCGGGGGGCTCCGTCATATCGCAACGCAGAGAGAAGGGTGTGTGAGCGTGATTGCCGTGGGGCAGGACACGCTAGAAGGGCTACGGAAGACAGGAGGCGCTGTTTTTTTATGCTTGACGGCGAGGCCGGTTCGGTGGAGCAACCCCCCTCCCCCCCAATGAGAATGCGGTGGCCTCGTTGCCTCGCCGTGATTGGTTGGCCACGGCGCACCCAACGCTGACATTCTCCAATAGCCGGGCCGATGGGCTGTTTGTATCATTCCGTTTGTGTGGGACTCCGTTTTTTTTTTTATCGGCGACGCGCCCCATTTTGTTTCGCGGCGGACGAGGGGCGCCCTGCTGTCGTAGGACGGCGTCTTTTGATGGGGGAGCTGGCTCGTGTCTTGTACGCGCACAAGCTGAGCTAGGTTAGAGAATAAAGGGAGCTTAATTCGATTCAACGGGTGCTGAGTTTTGAGCTGTGGCTGGCTCATCCATGTAGTAAGAGTTTTTCTTTTCCCGCGCACATTAGACACCTGTGTTAAACGGCATCGCTTTGTAAACATTTCACCACTTGGTTTGGTAGCCCGGGCGGGGGCAGCGGTTGAGCGCGCAGTTCAAGACATGTTGGGTGCCGATATTTTTAATCAAAACTGGAGACATCGTCCACGTCCTGATGCCCATGGTTGATCGGGAGGGACCGCCGCTTTTTGTGTGCCGTGAGAGCTTGTTTGTCCCATGACGCATGTGCGGGTGGTACGGCAGCCGTTTGTTATTTTTTCATTAGTTGTGTGTCTTTGTGACAGTTCCTCGTCCTTGTATAAGCTTTTGCTCTTTTGGTCTCTGTACCACACAACTCGCAACCCCGCTGTGTGTGTTGTGGATTGGACACCGGCTGACTTTGCAAGTGTTTTGCGGTAGACGTCGACCTTATTGTTCGTCTTCGGGTAAGAAATTGAGTTTGACGATGTTTTTCTTGGTCTTTCTTCGCGTCGGGATTTTGTTTTGTTTTGTTGTAGGGGAGCGAAAGAAGTCCGCACTTGCGGCTGGCTGTACGCGAACCAAGCAGTGTTTTCTTTTGTATGCGTAATACCTGTGTACAGACGACTTCAGGCTGGCTCTCGGGCAGGCATAGGTAGGTGTGCGCGCGAGGTCGTTAACTCTGCGTTCTTCTTGCAATGTATTGATAAGGACGGACAGGGAACTCGACTTCTGTTGTGGCTTTTATCTCGTGACTGACTCATGTGGTTTGTCCGCGTTAATGTACCGCGGGAATTCCCATTTGCGGCCACTTTCACATGCAGCATACCTGCAGCCTGCAGCCTGCAGCTGCTTTTCCATAGTACGATGCAATTCAATGATGTTCTGAAGCCCGATAGGGATTCAGTTTCTGTCGCCGATATTCTCAGAAGCTATGTTCGAAAACGACCGCACTTTTCGGGACCCCACCAAAAAGTGACCCCACTCTCCGCATTTCACTTGATTTTAGAGCCAACCTCGTAACTGTGGTTTGTACGGCATACATACGCATAGTCGTTGCTGTACGTCTTATTCGTACATCTCCCCCGTGCGCGAACAACCGAACCACCCCTCCCTCATCATTACCCCCAGTTGTACCCCAACTGATCGCAAGCCACCGCACTCACGACGGGAAGGAACGCATGTCCACGGTTGGTTCAGAATCATGCACGAAAGTCGCCGGCTGATGTTTTTTTTTGTCTCCCAGACTGACTTATGAGGACTACACAGTTGTCTCCCAGACTGACTGAGGACCACAGCAGTAGAGTTCGGCATACACTACATGTATGCATACATGAACCCGATAGGCACATGTGATTTTCTCCTCTCGCCCCTAGCATACAGGCCACACATCTCGCAACAGATCAACCTCATTAGCATGTGCACCAACCAGCTTGCAGAACTACAGAGTACTGCTGTACTTACTGCTGTGTAGTGAGGCTGCACAATTTTTATTTTTGTCTCCCAGACTGAGTGATGAGGACCACAGCAGTAGTCTCCTCCAACCATGGAGATTCTCCTATACGTGTCTGTCTACAGCAGTAGACTAATAAAAGTATGCCAACCATGGTGGATGTACAGGTAATACGCCTTGACTTCCCGTCAGTCTTGTCGCAACACACCCAAAACTTCAGGGATCACAAACGCCCGGCTTGTCGCCTTCGCGGCTCTCCTTTTCCTGCTGTTCGCGTTGAGTCCGGCTATGAAGAGCAAAACTCCTCCTCACATTTTTCATGCTGGTTGACTCAAAATCCTCGGAGACGCTCTGTACGCCTGCCTACCTTGAGAGGAGTTTGTGTGTGCAAGCAATCGGACTTTGTACGTGCGGATTAAGTGCAAAGAGGGAGAGAACGCCACACGCACGAACATCAAATGACGAACGAAACGTGATACCGCGAAAAGTGCACATGCCAGCATCAGTTGTCTGTACAAGGGAGAGCCCGGGTGGCACGAGTCCGGCGGCACAAAGCCCTCCTACAGCAGTCTATCAACAGACAGTGGACCACGACCAAACTTCGGCAAAAGTTGCGCCGCATATGTTGTATCTTTGTCGTGTGGGCGTCTCGCGATCGTTGGGTGGTCGATCGGGGCAGTACTACTGCTGTGTTGACCGTAAACTCTCGAAACTATATACCTGTAGCGTGCATGTACACAATCGGCCAAACGTGCAACGCCGCAGTGGCGAGGGGAGTTATGTCGTTATGCCCGCAGCAGCGGCCGCAGCAGCAGTTCGTGTCGAACTTGTCGAAAAAGGCCGAGAAAACCGCAGACTGATTCGATGAGGAAAAAACTCCGTCGCCCCATAAAGAAGGGGATCCACGCGCATATCGACAGAGGTTTGATGTTGATGCGCCTTTGTTGCCGCATGTACTTAGTATAATAATGACTCTCCCGTGAGGGAGGGGTGAAGACGTTGTTCGCTTACTGTGATTGGATGGTCTCGTGGCGTGCTTCGTTTTTGATTGGGCCCACAAGCCGGAAATCCGCAATGGCGTGCGAGGAAGGATACGCACGGTAGTCATCAAATTTAGTCCGCCATCGTCGTGCATGCTTCGCACCTTGTTAGGGGACCAGGATCTACACCTTCGACGAGAATATAGACAACAAGCGACGCTCCTGCCGTGTGTGGCATCTCTACTCTGTCGTGGCCACCGCACACCCCGCTCGTGTCTATGTAGCGCAGCTGTACGGCGGATCAGCTGAAATTAAGACCGCCATCGTCACCACCAATGGAAGGACAAGACCCACCGAAGGTGGACGTCACCGACGAAAAAAGAAACGGGGCCGAAGAAGCAGCGGGGGCTAGAGATAGTGTCACCACATCACCACCAGGTATTCCAGGGAAGAAGTTGTCACGGGAAACGGTTTGAGAGGCTGCCCATGATGATCGGAGAGAGAGGCGTTGTGCAGACTATGTATGTGCCGTAACATACAATAATGAGTGGTCCAACACGCACATCACAGAGCAGCGATGTACATCAATATACCGTTGTAGACATGCTCGACGAAGTACTGCAGACTACAATTTAAACCTAGAGTAGGCTTTCAGTTCGCTGTTCGCATCCAATCATCGACAACGGGACAGCTTGCACACGTAGACTACATGTGCGTTGTGCCCGAGAGGATATTCGAGGGAGAAGCACTCACGTGCTGTAGGCCACACCTTGTCAGAGGAATTATTCCCGTATGTACATAGAGCGGTAGACTACATATAGGAGCAGGTACGATAATCTCTTTTTCATGAACCGCCTTCCTTTGACGTCCTCGTCACCCCTCACGTGTCAGACGTGGCGAACAGCCGACAGGAGAAGGACGATGTTACTCCCGGAAGAGCTCCTCTCGGGCCATCAGAGGGCACCACCACTGCTTTCCACTCATCGCCGTGCGCTGTTTCACCCGCTGCCTCTACGGCCTGGGGAGAGGACAGCGATGATGAATTGATACGACGTACACCAGCGCAGTCGCCACTACCGTTCGGTGCCACCGATCATCATCATGATGCTGCCTGGAACACCACAACAAACCCTGCATCAGCTTCTTGGGCGAACGACAGCAGCAGTAGTGATGGCCAAAGCAGAACAACAGCAACCAGGCTTCCGAGCGGGACGTTGCATTCGTACCAGCATGTGGTGGCGGCTCCACGAGGGCCCGGTGTGTCTACGGCGTGGGGAGATGATAGCGACGACAACGACGACGGCAGAAGAAATAATTATAGAGATGATGATATCGAACGTCGTTCAGTCACCCTCTCCGCTTCTTCTGGCCTCCTCATGGCTGCGGTGGCCATCGACGACGAGGAAGAAGCGCCAGCAGTACAGCGGCGGGAGGAACACGCCGACACGGTGTGGGGAAGCGACGACGACGGTGAACACGTTTACGACTATCGTCCGTCAAGGTTCTCGCAGCCGTTCGGGATGGGAGCAGCGGCAGCAGCGGCGTCTGGAGTGGCGCCGGCCGGCACAGAAATGGCACCAGCATCGCACGCGACCACGTCATGGGGATGCGACGGGGATGACGAAGACAGCAGTGTTAGGGAACAGTCCTCTCCGTGTTCGCAGTCGTTGAGGACTGCAGAAGGAGGCGCACGTGCGACGGCCGCAGTCGGTGTGAACCCGCAACAACCGCTGTCTCCGGCGCGGTATTACCATCATCGACACGATAGCGATGAGGTCGTGGTCGCACCTTTGTGGATGCCCCACGCGCAAGGCCAATCAGGGCCGGGCGAACCCGATGATCTGTGGGCAGACGAAGGCGATGGAAGGAGCGGCAACACGAGCCGTCCCCGCGGGAACGGCAACAATCCGAACAGCAATGTAGCGTGGGGTTTTGGAGGCCCCCGGCTGAGCGCAACGCTCCCGGCGTTGGACGATGTAGACCTCACGGCCGATAACGAAAACAACTCGTCGGAGGCCGCAGACCTCGCCGCGACAGTACCGGCGGGAAGAATCTCAACGCCGTTGACGATGACCCCGTCGCCTTGGTTCAATGCGTCAGGGCGGGACTTTACGCGACATTCCTCGGCGGGCGGCAACGACGATGGCAAAGACCGCTGCAATCCGCACGATTTGCGGTCGACATCAACGCCGCCGCGCGTGGGCGGCGGCGCGTGGTTTGGCCGTTGGTTCACGCTCAACGTTCCGCGATGCTGGCGGCCTCCCGGCGCGGCGGAAAGCTCCCCGATGCACGAGGTGCGAGCAGCAAAGTATGACTTCGCCAGCAAGCCCCAGAGGCCTGTAATCCCACCCGTGCGAGATCGTCGTCGGTCTTGGCTGCAGCGACCGTCCGCGTTCGTGGCACGGCTCCGAAGGAGGGCGGTGAGGGAGTTGGGGCCAAAAAAGACGCCGGGCGGCGGCCTCGGCGCGAAGCAAGACGACGACGGCTCGGGGGTGCGGGCGTGGGGGTGGGGGGATAACTTCAGGAACGCGCCCGGGCTGATTGGTCGCCTGGCGGTCTGCATCTTGGCCGTGTGCGCGCTTTGGTCCACCAGCCTGAGCGTTGTAGGTGAGGATCTCGCTTTTTTCTTGGCGCTGCGACGTACGGACGATGTAGTCGTCATCTGCTCCTCGCAGCAAAGCAGCATATCGCTTGATGGGGTGGAAGATGAGTCCGGCTACGACACCCTCGGATGGGTTCGTAGGGTAAAATAATCCTGTACGTGAAGTGGCTGAAGCTTTCCGCTCGACAAAACTATCGTGCCACTCTCTCCCCTTCCCGACGGTGTGACCGTTCTACACCAAATAATGGAGGCACGGCAACCCCTGCAAGAAAAAAAACATTCCAATACATGCTCCCAGACTCACATAATTTGCCTCTCCATCCTTTGCGTGAACGCCAGTGGACATCACGGGTTACGTCATCCCGTCCCCCAGTTTGACGGACGTCATTATCGCGGTGCTCCACGCGTACTACATCGTACAAGAGCAGCGAGAAGCGAGCCAGGAGTGCGTTGCCCGCCAGAGTGTCTACTGCGACCTGGACATATCGAATTTCGAGGCCTTGGCCAGAGACGCGAGCGTTGCGTCGTTAGCCTCGACCGCCGCGACCTTCGAGGTTAGACGGCGATCGATGTGGTTGAGGGTTGCATGTGGGTGGTGACCATGTTTTCTCGTAGTGAGAGAATTCCAAAAAATAAATCGGGTTGGTCTTGAGCATTCTCTCCGAGATTTTTTCCTATTTGAAAACAAAACCTTCAGCGCAAAAAACTACATGGCTTCTTTTTCTCACCCATCGCCGGTCGTCGTTTGTCGTCGCCGTCGTTGTCCTCGTCCCTGGTACCCCCTCTCCTCAGCAAGCCGAGTCCTGGACGGATTCCTGCGAGGCGTCCGTGCGAGAGGTGGAGGTGTCCATCAAGACCTGGCTAGCACAGGGGATCGGCCACGGCCTGCTTTACTCGAACACGACCAAGTCAACAACCAGCAGCGCCAGCAGCAACAGCAGCGGTAGCAATAGCGACTGCAGCCCCACCGACCGCGCGCTCGTGGCCGACTTCCTCGGGGACGTCTCTCCCGGCCGTGACGACCTCGCCTCGGCCACCTCGAGCTTTGCCCGGATCTCCGCCGAAACGGTCACCACGCTCTCCTCCTACGCGCTCGAGCGCTCCGCGTACGACGCCGCTTTCGTCGCCAACGCCTCCTCCGAGATCGCCGTAGATGCGGTGGCCCTGCTGGAGAATGTCACCCTCGAGATCCCAGAGTCTATCTTCGAGTCCCTTGAGGGTATCTCGGCCCTTGGGGACGCTCTCATGTCTTGCGTGTCGCTGCGAGGCGAAGACGACGACGGCGGGGCGGCGGCGGCGGCCTGTCCCGTCGAGAGCGCCCGCGAGCTCACGGACGCGGCGAGGGAGGAGCTGGACTACCAGCTGGAAGTCGCGCGGGCGGCATTCCAGGAGTACGCGGACACGTACGAGGAGTACAAGGCCAGCGCCGAGGAGTCGTACGACAACTGGATAGCCTTCTATTCCGGCGTGATGCTTCTCCTGGACGACCACAGGGTCGACATCACAGGCTCCGGGCCTTGGTCCTACCTCACCGAGTCGGACTTCACGATCCCGCCCGTCGAGGTTCCCTCGGCGAGCGGGGTCCTCTCCGACTTTGGCGACGCCCTAACCTCCTCCGAGATCTGGGAGACCGTCAGCGGAGCCTACGGCAACTACTCCGACGGCATCTCCTCCTGGAGCGACCAGATCACCGCCGACGTCGAGGCCCTGAGGGAAGAGTGGCGCGCCCTGACGAGTGCAGCCCTCGCCAACATCTCCGTGAGCCCCCTCGCCCTCGAAGACTACAACCCCCCGCTGTACGGCAACTCCTCGACACAGACCGACTCGAGCGCCCTCCTGGACTCGACCGGTTCGAAATTTCAGGCTCAGGCGGACGGGTACTCGTCGAACTCGTTGGCCCTTCTCGAGGGGCTTGGGCCCGCGGGCCCGAATCTGTCGTTCCCGGCCTCCCCGTCGCTGAACTCCACCCTCCTGGTAGGCGGCGCGTCCACCGTCCTCCCCTCGCCGGTCGACTACACCTTCGCCTCCTTCACCGCCACCGACGTAAGCTTCGACAGCTGGGTGGTCTCGCTCGGCAACATCGCGCTCCTGCTCCTCGCCGCCGACTACATCTTCCGGACCGCGTCTAGCCTGCGCCTGTTCGTCCGGTTCTGGGGCCGCGGCGGGCTCGGCCTGCCCGACGCCGACGTCCGCGTGGACAAGGCCGCCGCGAGCGCTGGCGGGGCGGCCGCCGGCCTCCGCAGGGGCGTGGCGCGGGTGCTGATCCACCCGGCCACCACCGTGTTCTTCTCCGCTGTGGTGCTGTCGCTCGTGCTGTACAACCTGGCCTCGGTCTACGGCCCGCTGTTCGCCGACTACAGGGCGGGCTGTGTGGAGAAGTCCCAGAACGGGAGCTTCTTCGGCCAGAACGTGTACTCCGTAGCGTATAACTACGCGGCCGAGGAGGGCAACCGGGACCAGTGGACCTATCAGGTTTGGTCAAACGTGTGTGGTGTGTGTAGCGATACCAAAGGGACATTAGTTCATTGGCGAGCGGTGCGGCGCGCAACGGGGAACGGCGTAGGGAGGCAGAGGCACCAACGAGCCCGTGTTCGAAGGAGCAAAAGGCTCCTTGTCCCCTCCGCCGTTCCATTGTAGCAGCAGCAGGAAGGACAACAATGTTGTCTGCACCTTGTCGTAAAAAAGAAGGCACTTCGTGGATAATCGATGCCGTTTTTTCCAAATCGTTCCGCGCCGCCTCAAATTTACTCCCGCATTGGGGATGGCATACTAAATATAACCTCTTCCGAGCAGGAGGATCACACCAGCCGGCGAGGGGCGCTGTGCGTCGAGCTGACCGCCGACGTGCGGCAGTACCTCGCCGAGACGGACGCACAGCTGAGGATCATGTACGAGGCGCACTACGAGGACGTGACGGCGGCCGCCACCCTCGCCTCCTGCATCGACATCGCGGAAATGGAAGCGCTGTACACGGAAGCTTGTTGCGGCTACGACGGGTAAGGGCTTGTGGTGGATGGTGGATAATGGCTTCGAGAAGAATAAGAAAATACGAGCAAGACTTGTCGTTGCACGACCAGAGATGTAGGTTTGTCCCCGCTTGTTGCGTTTGTCTACTGTAGAACTGCAGGATATTTGGTTGTTCCTGAACGCCGCGCTACGATTTCAACAAGGATTACTTGCTTGTTGATAGCGAAGCCCAGTGGCTCGGTCTGGGGGGAGAACAAAGAGTACGCCATCTGATGCACAACTACGTTGTTATCGCATGCTTCGAGAGGAAAGATAGGGGTGCGCACAAAGCACCTGCTGACCAATCAACCCGCTCTTTGCGTGCGATAGTTGCTGGTGTACATGGCATGAGAGCGTTTCCGTTGTAAGTATATGGTTGATACAAATACCGAAACTCGCAAACAACAAACTACTCAACGGAANTCCCACAGGACCGATCACCGATGGCCAATCGTCCCTTCCTACTTTGCCAACGGTGGCTCAAAAATGTCTTCTCCAGTCTGTCTATCCTAACGATATCCCTTCCCGCCTTTTCAACCCACCTCCTATGCCCCAGTACAGCTACCGTCCTTTCCTCTCTATTCCATGCCTCAAACATCTCCCTGTACGTTCCATCTATTTTTCCCAGCTCAGTCA